CAAAAAGCAGCCGAGGCTCATCAAGACAAGGTCAGTGCGAGTGCTCGGCGTGGGGAAGGACCAGCAGCCCTGTCTAGTGGGGCCGGTACGGCTGGGGGATCGAGCCAGGGTCGATCGAGTACATTGCCTGTCAAGCATGTGTACCGAAGTAAGCACTGGCAGGGTGGGATTGCATGCATCGCAATGCATCGCAATGCATTCGGCTGTTGCTGTCCAGGTGATGGAGCTAGATGCCCGTTACATTCAATGTCTCCAGCCTCCATGGGGCATGTCCGTGACTCTCTTCAGCGTTGCACCTGTGATGCGAGGTAGAAAGAGATTCTTTGACATGGAATCTAGGGAAGGGTATCATTCATCAAGTCGGAACTGTGTTTCTTCTCGGAACTGTGTTCCTCATATGAACAAGGTGGACTGTGAGGGCTTTCCACACTGCTTTTGCTGCTTTTCCTGCTATTTCGTCTGAGTTGGGTGGTTGTCCGTCACAATGACTGATGCTAGCGGTAAAGAGACAATGGCCAAAAGAACAATGCGTCTCTGACGGATGCATCTACAATGTCATGGATTGCACCCTCACGTCCATTGACCAGTCCCAAGGCACTTGTTGCTTCATCTACAACAGGCACATGCTGTGTCCTCATAACAACAGTGCTCGTTGGGGTTCAACAGAATCCGACCAAATGCCATCATAATACCTCTTTCAAATGCAACACAAGACCAAGTCACCGCAGACAGGCCCATTGTGCCGACACATGTCACGTAAGCGCAGCCTCGCCATTTTGGGCCCCCAGCCTCGCCATTTTGGGCCCCAAGGTACCTACCTAAGGTACCGTAAGGTGGGCTTGCTAGGCTGCTAGGTACCTGCACCCACGTGCCGGAATTGCCTCGGCAAATCCTCCAAATCCTCCAAATCCTAGACCCACCGCTAGCTGCCCTCGCACGCATCGCCAGAAGGAAACACCAGCAACAGCATCACCACTCCAGCCTCCTCTGCTGCATTCCTATCGCTTTCCACCCCCGTTGCATCCGACCCAATGCCTCCTCCATAGGTAGGGAGCGAAAAAAATCAACACCCGGCGACCAGCTCCCCCCCGACCAGCTCCCCCAGCTCCCCCAGCTCATCCGACCATGGAGTTCATGACCCCCCTCCAGGCCTTCGACGAGCAGAAGCCGTCCCTCTTCGAGCTCCTCTCCGAACAGCAGCTCAACGGCCTGCTGCCGCCGACCCTGCGCTACCTCCTGACCATCGCCACCCAGCGCTACCCCCGCTACCTGCTGCGCGTGCTCAACTCGTTCGATGAGCTCCACGCCCTGCTGATGCTCCTCGTCGAGCGCCACTACCTGCGCACCCGCGGCGGACTCCTTCACCGAGCACTTCTACGGCCTCAAGCGGGAAA